CTCAAGCAGACGCTCGGCAAAGACCAACCCCAACGCACCCAGGCCCCCCGTTACCATGTATGTCGCATTCGTATGTAGGTGGTAGCTACTGGGCAAAGACAGAATCACCTTTCCCATATGTTGTCCCAATTGCATGTACCTGAAGGCGTCAACGTACTCATCCTCCATTTGAAAAACACGAATTGGTGGAGCGTGAAGTAGACCCGCCTCTGCTTTGTCACGCAAATTCTGTAAACATCGCCCGTACCACAGGGGGTCTTTCGTGATCATGTCATCCAGCGCGACAGTCTCGTAGTGCACGTCTGCACGAGCTGCTTGCATTTCGTCATGTGTCCATATATCGCGCTTGCCTATTTCCATGAAGCGGCCCTCAGGACCTAGAAGATCAACGGAATACTTGATGAAGTCGCCCGAAAGACTGTTCAATACCACATCGAGCTTACATCCTCCTGCCAAAAAGCTTGACATGTCTTTGAAAAATTCCTCAGGGTCTCGCGAGCTTGTGACGTACTCTACACCCAAACTCCGGAGGTAATCGCGCTTCTCCTGCCTTCCGGCTGTGGCGTAAACTATGGCACCTACAGAGTGTGCATATTGCACGGCAGCAAGGCCGACACCCCCCGTCGCAGCATGAATCAATACACGTTCGCCGGCGCACAACTTTGCGAAATGGCCCAAGGCTACCTCTGTCGTCGAAAATATACTCGGCAAAGAGGCTGCGTCCTCAAAAGACAAATTTTTGGGCTTCACCTCCACCAGCGCCGCCATCACTGCCACATACATACGGAGACAGCCTGGCATCATGCCGTACACTTCATCTCCAATTTTGACGTGATCCACATTTTTCCCCACTGCAACGACCGTGCCTGAGCAGTCGGATCCCGGCTGGCCAGGGTCCCCGGGGTAAAGTCCCATGACGTTCAACACGTCGCGGAAATTCAATCCCACCGCCCGAACCCTGACCAGTATCTCACCCTCTTGTACGCTACTTTCATCACGACCCGGGTCAGCCACCTGTTGGAGTTTAAGGTTGCTGATTGCACCACGCTCCGGTAAATCAACTTCAAAAGGACCGCGAAATGGAACGCTGCTTCGCATGAGACGGGGCACACGAATCTCTTTATCCCTTACGCAAACTTCCACTTCTGTCGTCGGCAACTTCGTTTGACCGCTAAGGAGGCCGGCAAGTTGCTGTGCTATCCCTGCTCCCGGCGCCATGTCAGCGTCCAAGTCCACATGCACCACTCCCGCCTCAGGGTGCTCCAATTTCACGCTTTTAGCATATCCTGACACCCACGATTGGCACGTGTGCTTCAACTCACGACAGCCACCTCCCACGTCTTGAGCCCCTTGAGTTACTAGCCACAGATTCATAGGGTGGGGCTTTTCTTCTATACGCAGTGCACCATGAGTCAAGGCCAGCACACGTGCAAACAGCTCCGATCGCTCTCCTTTATCCTCCGACAGTAACCCGCAGTACAATACGCCGGACCAATCGACAGCGGAAAGCATTTTTCCCAAGCACACAGCATTAGTCAAGTCTGCATAGCTTTCGCCTTCTGCTGCTATCATGGCATCCTCGGTTCCCTCCCGATGCCACACACAAGACAAACTGATTGATGCATCTTTTGCCTTCAATGAGTCATAAATCGTCGGCGCTAGAGATTCAGGAAGATCTAGGACCAACCACTTGCTTTGTCCCTCGCCTCCGCTCTCCAAAAGCGAAACAGGTGCGTCGTCGACCCGTAGGGGGCTCCAATGCACCTCATACAAACATTGAGCTGCGACACGTTGCTGTGAGGCCGATCGTGACAAGCGACGACAGATCACGTCGTACAAATGTGCCACCACGTCCCCTTCGCTGTTCGTGAGCTCCACCTCACAGGTAATCGCTTTCTTGTCGTGGCCTGTCACACGGGCGTGACTCCAAATGCACCCCCTCGTCGGTTTGTAGACAACCATACGCCGTACCGAATACGGAAGATAGGGGTCCCCGTTTGGCGCATCATCTTCGCTATGACTGCTTGTTGCTACTGCCACGAGCTGCAGTGCACCGTCTAACACCCCGGGATGAAGGTGGAATTCCGATTCCCAAGCCTCCGACTCAGCCGCAATCTGCAATTCTCCCACAGCTTCCTTGTCGCCTCGATATACGCGCTGGATGGTTTGAAACCGTGGGCCGAACTCTAGCCCCAATTTTCGTAGCATACCGTACATCTTCGATGCATCGATTTCATCGTTGCAGCGTCTACGGACATCTGCGACCGCTTCGCCGCCAGCTGGTTTTTCCAATGTACGCACGAGCTCAAGATGAATCCTGCTATTAGTGGTTGCTTCCCCCTCCTCTCCAATCGTCTTCTGTATCTCGCACGTCCCATTTGGAAGTACGACGCATTTCAACCATGCAGCTTCGTCTTCGTCATGGACGATCAAAGGGGCTTCAAATAAGACGTCACGAATTTCCACTACATCATTTTTCGTGCCCTTACTTACAATGCTGCTCAAGTCTCGCGCAGCAGCCGCTGCTGTCTCAAGATATGCAGCGCCTGGAATGATCATTTCCCCCGAGACCTGGTGGTCCTTCAACAACTTGTAGACTTTTCCGGTCAACTTTGTTCGATATGTTACCACACCGTCTGCTGTCGTGGACTTCATTTGCAGCAGCGGGTGCCGCATCTCATGCCACGGAAATGGCTGCCTCTTATAGATACACAGCGGTTTAAGACATGCTTTCAAGCCTTCCTCTGCCACGGGGGAGGGAGTCTCAACATCTTCTTTCGTGCAGCATGCGTGGAGTAAGATTTCCGCAGTCTTGGCGA